AGTATCCATTCAATCAAACACAGAGTAAATAGAACACAGTCCCTACCCAGCATACCTACTAAAGTAGTTCTATTAGCCAGGGTTCCCTAAAGGAACAGAATTGATAGGCCATATATATATATATTTAAGAGGGTGATTTATTTGATTGGCTTACAGAATATCATCCAGGTAATCTAGCAGTCTAACAATGGCTGTCTCATACTGGAGAAGCTGACAATCTGGTAGTTGTTCCATCTGTGAGACATGTCTCAGAAGTCTCAGTCTGCTTCTAAAGGTCTGGAGGATTCTTGGGGAGCTACTTATCTCCTTTTTCAAGACTAAAGAAAATAATACCAATATTGATGAAGGAATGCCACAGAAACAGGATAGATAAACTCCCTAATGGGAGTAAAGTTAAAAAAAAAAAAAAAGGCGAAAGTTTTTCTTCATGTCATGTCCTTTTCTATGGGCTGCAGCCAGAAAGTACTACCTACAGGATACTTAGGGTGGGTCTTCCTTCTTCAAATAACATGATCAAGAAAATCCCTCACATTTTAGATAATTCTAGATCAAGTCAAGTTGACCACCATAATTAGTTGCCTACACTCAGTATACCATTGTATATATGGCATTGGAGACATTGAAGAGACAATGTTAGGAGATCACTATCTACAATGTGTAGATTTAATGTAATCTTCAGGTTTGATGAAGTGATTAGGGAACCAGGAGGATCAGAGGCAGAGACAGACATACATAACTCTGTGTGTGTGTGTGTGTGTGTGTGTTTGTGTATGTGTGTGTGTGTGTGAGAGAGAGAGAGAGAGAGGAGAGAGAGGCACAGAGACAGAGAAGAGACAAAGAGACAAAGAGATGATGAGAGAGGTTAGAGGGTGATGATAAGGGAGGGAAGGAGAGAGTAAAACAGGTGAGAGAGGAAAAGAAAGAAAGAAGAAGAAAGAGAGAAGAAGAAAGAAGGAATGAGAGAAGGGGGAAGGAGAGAGAGGATGAGGGAGAGACAGAGACCAATTAACTGAAGGTACTGGAAAGAGACATGATCCAAGGAATGGGTACATCCTCAAGAAGCTGGACAAGACAAGGATTGTCCCTTGCTTTGCAAGTTCTATTTGATTTTAGGACATTCAATCCCAGAATAGTTGGATGACAAATTTGTGTTGTATGATAAAGGGTTTTTGTTAAATTGTTTCAGTGGAGGTCACTCACACAGTTTGTTCTTTCCTTCAGGACAGGATATGTATCTCACTCACAGGTAGCTGACTCTCCATGTTGGCACAGAACAGATATGCAAAAATCATTTTAGTATTTTATGAAGACTAGTGGCAATTTCAGATTACTAGCAAATACTAGAATACTAACAACAGCCTGTATGATTGATGGGAAACTTACAGGAAGAATAATGTCAAGGAAAATTTTGAAGCAGAGGCATGGTTTGATTAGACTTGGGCTTAGTGCTGTGTAGAAGTGTGAGCTAAACAAAGGGGTGTTAGGATGAGAGCTCAGTCAATATGTTATTGAAAGTGCTCAGGGAAGAAGCCACAAGGAATTCCCTGAAAGGAGTCAAGGAAGGACGTGGAAGGGAAAAAGCACAGATATGTGGAGGTGTGGAAAAATTTGAGGTGTGGCCAGCTAATAGTTTGGAACTTCTACAGTAAGAGATTTCACCCAAGTTTGGGTATTAATTTGGGTATCAGTTTGCCTTCAATTTCTGTAACAAAACACATTGACCAATGGCAACTTGGGGAGCAAAGGGTTTATTTGGCTTACATCTCCCAGGTCACAGCTTCTCACTGAGGGAGCCCAAGGTAGGAACTCAGGGCAGGAACCTGGAGGCTGGAGCTGAAGCACAGGCCATAGAGGAATGCTGCTAACTGGGTTGGTCCCCTGGCTTGTGCTCAACCTGATTTCCTATACAATGCAAGAATACATGCCCAGGGGTGGCATGAGCCACTGTAGGCTGGGCCCTCCCACACCACTTAACAATCAAGAAAATGTCCCACAGACACAGTTCCAGGCCAGTACAATGTAGGCAGTTCCCCAGTAGAGGCTCCCTACTCAGCAGTGTCAAGTTGACAACTAAAGCTATCAAGTGTATTAACCTACAGTGTGATTTATAAGACGGTGTTAAATTATAACTATCTCAGTTACTTTACTATAATTTAGGGAAAAGGTTAGGATAAACAATTGTTGATAAAATATGCTTCAACTGACTCCTGATTGCCATACTAGAAGTGAAAGCTAGCTGCAAAGAATTACTCTACAATGACTTTTTTAAATGCCAGAGTCCTTTTCGATTGGTCACTATTTTAACATTTGTGCATCTTTTTCCACTTCCTTCCTTGTTATGTGAGGAAAATTACACTTTATGTTTTTCACTCTGCTTTGTGAGATGCCGTTATTTTCCTAAAACGTCTCACTTGCACGTAATAGTGAAGTTTATTAAAGGGCTCTGCTTTATTGGCTGCACATTGTCATATAAAAACAGAAGCTGCAAGATGACACCATAAATGAATACTACTACCCAGTTCATAGCCTTCCAATACTGTGACTCATTAAAACACTGATGGGGGGCCTACTTGGAATCTCAATTTCAACAAAGAGAAATGGGGGACACAATGATTATGTGCCCAGTGTCTTTCTAGTCTGAGAAATCTGTCACAACTCACATAAAAATTAATTTTGTCTCTTTTTGTGAATATTAAACAATAGGTGATGACAATTTAAGTAAAATTTAGTACACATACAAATTCCACATCAATAAAAGTTATTCCTAGAGATTATGAATTCTTTTCTAAAAAATTACTAGCTTTTCTTCATAAAAATAATAAATTTAAAAATATTTTCTTTGGGAAAAAGAAAATTTTTATTGTGCTTCCCTTTCTCAATCTGAATTCTACTAACATGGAGCTTGCATTTTCTCAATAGTAAATTGACTAGGTTCACATTTTTTTTTAAAAAGATGAGACAGTATCATTCTGAGAAATGCATATTTTAGTTGTAAAATTGTATGTCATCAGCTCAATAGCATAGAGGTAAAAAAAAATGATGTTATTCTGCTTGAAAGAGGAGCTTGAAGGATCACAGGCAGGAAAGGTGATCCAGCCAGTAGCTCCAGAAGGGTAAGAACTACATATTTTATGATATATTACTACTTATATACCAATATATATTATTATATTATTCAATCATAAGACATTCATGTCTAGGAAATTACCCGGAACTTGAAATTTATACCAGAGCTCCCTTGATATAAAAAATAAATGATATTTAAATCAGTCTTGTAAAGTGTACAAACTATTATTGGTTAGCAAAAAAGCAAAAGGCTTCAGATAAAGATATGAGGTATTTGCAATGTGTGGACTGTGGCAGATTTACAAGGAAAAGAAATGGGTGGGATTGAAAATAATGACCAAGAGTAACAGGTGAAGGGCTTTGTTTTCCATGGCAAAGGTATGAGAATTTTCTTCTTGGGGTATTAAAAAGCCGCTTCAGGGAGGCTATGGAAGGGTGCCATCTGGGAAGTGGATGTATAGTTGAATAAGATGGTTTGGGACACACACACACACATACACACACACACACAAATGAACAAATTTTAAAAGTTTATATATTTGAGGAGGAAGCATGGAAATTTATGTTATGTTAATTAGTAGAGGTGATAAACATTACCATTGAAATCTGCCCGATGACTTTATAGACATACACAGCAGCCATGGATCCAAGTGCAACTGATTATGACTAGTAATAATCAGATACATACAGATTAGAGATGCATGCACCAACATCTCAGTGTTAGTAGCAAAAGCAATGAGTCTTTCTGCAAGGAAAGACTAAAATGAAATGGAGGTCTTTTTTAAAGGTTAAAAACTCATTCAATTTTATGTCTTACAGGGCTTATACTGAGTTCAATACTGTATAACTGTATTAATTCAACTGTGAACCTAGAAACTTACTGCCACTTGTGAAAGAGATGTACTCTTGCTCTGGTGTGTGTTACTGAATATGTTAAAGCTGTAATGAAATGCTTCTTCTAATCATGTAGTTATTAAAATTTTTTTAAAAATAAATAATGATTTAAAAAATAAGCTGCTTCATTAACATCAACACAAGAAATTTCAGATCCAGGAACAGTGTTATAAAAGGAAATGAATGTGATTCATAAATGTTGAAGATATTTTATACTTTTTATTCTCAAAATAATATTTGCAGATTTTGTGTAAATCATTTGGTGGATTTTATTCTATCAGTTAAAGCTATTGATAGACATTGGCTTCATCTGAAAAATCTTAGTGGAATAAATGCTCTCTGGTACCCAATTATTTCTAGAAATCCATTGTTAAAAGAGTTGATTCTAACTTCAGAAATACATATCAGTCATGTTCAACAAGAGAAATGGCCAGAAAGATTTCAACCAATCTAGAAAAAAAAGGCTTATTTCTCAAATGCCAGAGGCTTTCTGAAGTAGTTACTGCTTCCCATACAAATTTTAGTTCACAAGGAAAAGGAAGTAAACTCTTTCATTAAAACACATGAATTCATAATAAGCATTTAAAAGAACACATGCTTCATTCAGAAGAAATGTATTCTAAAATGACGTTACTTATTCCTGCTGCTTTTCCGAAATTAATATCAGAGAGAGTATCACAGTGGAGAAGTATATTTCTAACAGTTTATTTAAAAGAAGGAAGAAAATTCAGTGATTAGAAAAAGGAATACATTCATATCAAAAGGTAGATGCACTGAATTTTGACAAGAATTATCATTATTAGTTGTCTTCTTCTATTTTGGAAGAAGTTTAAGCATAAGCTTCCTGGATAGAAAAAGTAAAAGGTATACAAAAGGTTCAACATTTTTTCATTTATTTTTAAATTTTTTGGAAAACTTCATATGTGAGTACTGTATTTATCATTCCCCCACTTCCTGTCAAATTTATAGCTCTTTCATTTTTAATTATCATCTTATCACTGTTACACACACACACACACACAAACACACACACATTTCTTCACTGAACGACTCACTTTAGTGCCAGTAGTCTACAGTAACAGAGTCCAGGTAATGCTAAGCCACTGATTGCTTTAGCATGTGGTACTATGAGAGGCTCAGCATGATGGACTTGCCATAAATCCAAATTCATGCATTTTATATATGTATATATATATAGTAAATATATGTATTTGATTTGATCTGACCTATATTTGCCAGAGTATACATTTACCAAAGAAAAATTTCTTACCATAATTATATTAATTCAAAACTATTATTGAGTATGTACCATGGACCACTTGATTCCGTAAGTATTGGAAATTCAACAGTTCTGTTCTGTGGGGATATTAAACATATTTGAATAAGTAAGGAAATTCATAGCAGGTGGTCATAACGGCCATTAAAAAAAAGTAAAATAGGGTAAGTATGATAGAAAATGACTCTGAGTGAATACTAACATGATTGAGAGAAGAGCAGAGATACACTTTCTACTAAGGAAGGTTACATTTGAGCTGAGATCTTTACAGATACTATGAGGATTTCTGGGAGAACTTGCTCAATGTACATAGAAAAATGTGTCAGGACCATATGATTAGATTATGTTCTGCTCAGATTTGCAGTAAGGTCAGTGGCAGGAGAACAGTGTCAACCAGATGTTCTGTCAATGAAAAGATATTGAAATGGTAGGGAATTACCATGACTTCCATCATAAAAGAATTATCTCTCTAGACTGTGAGATTCAGTCTTGGAAGTGGAAGGATGTTTGGAAACGTGAAATATGTAGACTATTGTAAGGGTCCATGTAAGAAGCAATGGTGACTTAGGTGAGGATGGAATCACTGAAAGGTTTTTGGAAAAAAAGTTATCAATATATCTTAAAGCTCAAGTTTTTAAAATTTTATCTCCCGTTAACTCAACGTGTGAGAGCAAAAGAGGGGAACGTGTTATGAATGACAGCAGCAACTGGAAGATTGGAGTTGTTATTTATGAGTTTGGAAATTTGGGGGGAAACAGATTTAAGAAATTAGAAAAGGTAAAGTAGAATCAAATTCATCTTATCGAAAATCAAAGTAGAGATGTTAGGGACATAGTCCTGTGTTTGGACTTTGGGGAAGAGGTTGAGGCTTCAGATATAACCACAGGAATGTAAGAAATGTAGAAGTTTTTATAGGCCTGGAGTT